TTCATCCATTTTGAGTTTATCCTTGTGTATGGTGCAAGAGAGTGGTCTAGTTTCATTCTTCTGCATGTGGATGTCCAATTTTCCCAGCACCATTTATTGAAGAGACTGTCTTTTCTCCAGGGGATAGTCTTTCTGGCTTTGTCAAATATTAGTTGACCATAAAGTTGGGGGTCCACTTCTGGATTCTCTATTCTGTTCCATTGATCTATGTGTCTGTTTTTGTGCCAGTACCACACTGTCTTGATGACCACAGCTTTGTAGTACAACCTGAAATCTGGCATTGTGATGCCCCCAGCTATGGTTTTCTTTTTTAAAATTCCCCTGTCTATTCGGGGTCTTTTCTGATTCCACACAAATCTTAAAATAATTTGTTCTAACTCTCTGAAGAAAGTCCATGATATTTTGACAGGGATTGCATTAAACGTGTAAATTGCCCTGGGTAACATTGACATTTTCACAGTATTAATTCTGCCAATCCATGAGCATGGAATGTTTTTCCATCTCTTTGTGTCTTCCTCAATTTCTTTCAGATGTGTTCTATAGTTTTTAGGATATACAACCTTTACCTCTTTGGTTAGGTTTACTCCTAGGTATCTTATGCTTTTGGGTGCAATTGTAAATGGGATTGACTCCTTAATTTTTCTTTCTTCAGTCTCATTGTTAGTGTATAGAAATGCCATTGATTTCTGGGCATTGATTTTGTATCCTGCCACGCTACCAAATTGCTGTATGAATTCTAGCAATCTTGGGGTGGAGTCTTTTGGGTTTTCTATGTAGAGTATCATGTCATCGGCAAAGAGGGAGAGTTTGACTTCTTCTTTGCCAATTTGAATGCCTTTAATGTCTTTTTGTTATCTGATTGCTGAGTACTTCTAGTACTATGTTGAATAGCAGTGGTGAGAGTGGACATCCCTGTCTTGTTCCTGATCTTAGGGGAAAGGCTCCCAGTGCTTCCCCATTGAGAATGATATTTGCTGTGGGCTTTTCGTAGATGGCTTTTAAGATGTCGTTTCCTCCTGTTTCTATCTACTTTTGTTAAGTTGGTGGTTTTTCATGTCACTGGCATAGTCTCCTCCCATCCCCATCCCCTTTTTTTAGTTTTGTGTCTATGCTTTAGATATTTGCTTTGTGGTTGCCATGAGGTATACACAAACCATTTCATAGATAAAATAGTCCTTTTCCTGCTGATAGCAGTTTATCTTCATTTGCCTCTAAAGGTTCCATTCTTTTACTCTTCCCCTTTTATATTTTGATGACACAAATGATCTCTTTTATACTGTGAATTTGTTACCAAGTTGTAATAACTATAGTTATCTTTCTCTTTTCCTTTAATCTTTGTGCTATAGTTAAGAGGTTAATATATTATTTTAAAAAGAGCTATTGTATTCTAATTATATATATTTCCTAAATCACAGTTTTGTGTACTTTCATCTTGTCATTTCAGCTTGAGGAGCTCCATTTCTTGTAGCGAAGGTCTAGTGGTGGTGAACTCTCTCAGCTTTTGTTTGGGAAAACCTTTATTTCTCCTTAATTTCTGAAAGATAGCTTTACCAGATATTTTTGGCTGATGGTTTTTATCCTTCAGTACTTTGAATATGTCATTCCTCTCCTGGCCTGTGGAGTCTCTGCTGAGAAATCTGCTGATAGCCTAATAGGGGTGCTTTTGTAGGTTACTGTCTTTTTTCCCCTCTTGGCTGTCTTTATAATTCTTTCTTTATTGTTGAATTTGACCATTTTAATATAAAGTGTCTTGGAGAGGATCTTTTTTCATTGAGATAATAAGGTGTTCTATTGGCTTTGTGGTCTTGTATATCCAGTTCCTTCCCCAGGAGTAGGAAGTTCTCAGCTCTTATTTCTTTAAATATGCTCTCTTCCCTTCCCCTCTCTCTTCTTTATGGGATACCCATTATTCTTATGTCGTCTTTTCTATTGGAGTCAAATGATTCCCATAGTTTGTTAACTATTTACAAATTTCGGTTCTCTCTTCTTTTCTACCAGAGTCATTGCTATATTTTTGCCCTTGAGCTCACCAATTCTCTCTTCTGCATCATCTGCTGTATTTCCAGTACATTCTAATGCGTTCTTTGTCTCATTTATTGAGTTTTCATCTCCAGGATTTCTGTTTGGTTCTGTTCTGGAATTTGAGTCTCTTGGTAAAGTATTCTTTCAATTTATTAGTTTTATTACTGATATCACTGCAATGTCTTCCTGAGTTTTCGTATGGCTTGTTGAACTCTTTACCTCAAGTATTTTAAATTATCAGGTAGACTAAAATATTCCATATCTTTGGGTTTGGTTGCCAGAAAATTGTCATTTTATCTTTGTGAGACCAGGTTACTGTGACTTTTTTTCATGTTACTGTGATTGTTCATGATGTTTGATGAGAAGTGGTCCTACCACTGCATTTGAAGTAGTGAACACCTTTTCTATGTAGGCAAATTTTGTTTACTTTGATTCTAACAGCTCAACTGGTAGGTAGTTCGGAACCTTCCTTTTGTTTTCCAGAAGATGGCGCTATAGCACAAGTTTTTGGCTTCTGTTAAGGGAACTGAGAGGCTGCTATGCATTTAAAAAAGCAAAAGGTGAGTGCAGAGCAGGGGTGAGTAAGGAAGGTGTGTGCTCACTCAGTGCTTAGGGCTTTGGGTGTGCCCATTGCTTCATAGGGGGATCCTGAGGTAGGGATGGTCCTTTTGCCTTCTGGGGCAGACAGCAGGAGACACTTTAGTCAATCCCTTTCCCTCTCCCCCATCACTGTGGTCTTCCTTCCAGCTGTAAGGCACATAGCCGGCCCACTTGCACTTACTGCCTTCACCCTTCACCTTCTCTGCCAGAAAGGTGGTGCAGGCTGGTTGCTGGACCAGCCACACCTTCTCTGCCATCACTGTCCATGCCACCACTGGCTCTACCACCACCACCCTCCCTCTGCAGCTTCCTCTGCAGTCCGTTCCACCCACCTTCAGGTGCACAGATGGACAGATCTCTCAGGTGTCCTGGTCTGCTATACAGAGGTACTTTTCGTTTTGGTTATGGATGTCCAATTAGTTGTACATCGAAGGGGAGAGATTAAAGGAATGACTTCTGCTGCCATGATGCTGATGTCACTCCATAGTAATCCACCAGTTATTCTTTATTTTAATAATGTTTATTAATCATGGCAGGAAAATATATGCCTATACCTCTTTCATTTAAAAGTTATTTTTAACAAAAATGTTTCTTTTTTTTTAACAAAAATGTTTCTTTTTAATTTTATTAAATGCCTTTCCAGCATCTATAGAGATGACCATATTGTTGTTTGCATCTATTGCTCTAATAGATTGTATTGGTATATTTTTCTAATATTGAACCATCTTTGCATTCCTGGAACAGGATTATCTGCCTTTTTAATGTGTTTCTCATGCTGAGTAAATCTGATTTAAATTTACATTAATAAATGAGATTGCTTTAAAACATGTGAAGTTTTTCTTTTAATGTTCTGAATTAAAAAAAAATGTTCTGAATCAGTTTTATTACCTGGAATTACCTTTTCCTTAAAGGAATTTCTCATAGAAATTTTCCTATAAAGCTGCCTGGCCTCGTGTTTTTGAGAAAGAGCTCTGTGACATTGTTTCCTCCCCCTTTCCCTCTTTCCTTCTTCCCTTCTTTTACTTCTTTCCTTTTCCTTTCCTTCTCTTTCTTTTTTGATGATAATTAGTATTTTCACATTTTCTGGAGTTAATTTTTATAATTTATATATTTTGGAACATTACCTATTTTACCCTGTATTTCAAAATTTGGGGCAATTAATTGAGGAAAGTAGTATTTTTTTAATTAAAAAAATTTAAAAATTCTTTACATCATATCCCCTTTCCTCATTTCCTATTTCATTCATTGTGCTTTTTCCCCTTTTTATCATGATTAATTTATTTTTCAGCTTTTTTTTTTGTTTTGTTTTATTGGTGCTTTCCAAGTATAAGCTTTGGGGTATTTTTATAATTCTAGTGTTGTTCTGCTTTGTGATTGATAGAGTCTGCTTTAATTTGATTGATATTTCTTTTTACTTTTTTCCCATTTATTTTGTTCTTTTCTAACTTTAATTGGATGCTTGATTTATTTAATTCCTAATATTAATATAAATATTTAAGATTATGACTTTTCTGTGAGTACTACATTCTTTGGGTTCTGGCAAGTAATATTTTCTTTTTCATCATTATCAAGATATTCCAGAACTTTAGTTTTATAAGGTTAAGTCATTCAAGAAAATGTCTAGATGGTACCATTCTAATTTTGTTATTAATTTCTAGAGTATTGTGTTTCTGTCTCTTTTATGTATTTATTTTTTGTTTCCTTTTGATCAGAAACTGTTAGTGGGATGCCTGGGTGGCTCAGTCGGTTAAGCATCTGACTCTTGATTTCTGCTCAGGTCATGATCTCAGGGTCATGAGATGAAGCCCCATGTTGGGCTCTGCACTCTAGTGGAAAGTCTGCTTAAGATTCTCTCCCTCTATCCTCCTCTTGTGCACACTCTCTGTCTCTGTTTGTTAACATTATTTTCAGAATTAAAGTTTACTTTGTAGCTTAATGTTTAGTCATTTTTTTATTAGTGTTCTATGTCAATTTAAGAATAAATCATGATATCTCTTTTCAGGGCATAATGTTCTTTTTTTTAAGTTTTTTTTTTTTTTTTTTTTTAATTCATGAGAGACACAGAGAAAGAGGCAGACACAGGTGGAGGGAGAAGCAGGCACCCTGCAGGAGAGACTCGATCCCAGGACCCTGGGATCATGACCGGAGAGCCAAAGGCAGATGCTCAACCACTGAGCCACCCAGGTGCCCCCATAATATTCTTTATAAGACAGTGAGATGTATATAATTATGACTTTTAGGTTTTATATATCCTTGGGGAAATTTTGTCCGTTGTTTGTCTTTGGATCCCCAGAATGCAGTAAAAATGCACACTTGATGAATGTATGATGTAGAACTCCCTGTGGTCAACTAGAGTTGTGTTGTGTTTTGTCTTCTAGCCAAAGATTGCTGAGGAGAACCTGACCTATGCTGAGCTGGAGCTGGTCAAACCCCCCGGGCTGCCAAAGGCCTCCCCACCAGCACCGTCTATGCCCAGATCCTCTTTGAGGAGAACAAGATGTAACATGGCATCCTCTTCCGTGGTCATCTTCTGTCATCCTCTTCCATGGTCCTATTTATACCTGCCATCCCAGTTATTTATGATACTATGGAAACAACATCCTTATTTTTGTGCCTTCTGTGTGGCAGAGAGCCCCTTTCCAACAGTGTTCCAGGTATCTTCAAAAAAAGGTATGAGGCACTAGGTACTAGGCTCCTCTCTGTAAAAGAGTAGGGGCCGCAGCCCTTGGACAAATCTCCCAGGACAAGATTTTTCTGGGTCTGAACCCTGAGCAGTGTGGACTCTGATTCTGAGAGCACCCAACGAGATTTTTCTGCTGAGCCAAACCCCTTCATTTTTCTTCTCTTTTCTGGTTTTAATCTTTTTAAAATCTTATTTTAATCTTCTACTCTTCCTGCATTTGTGATATCAAGCTCAGAGTATATAGCTAGAGGAAATGCCATTATAGGCCAAAGTGTGAGATGATAGATAGATAGTAATTGGTTTTCAGATAACATTTCTAAGGGCATCTAAAGCAGAGCAAACTGCTTATTCCAAATGGTTACTCAAGATAGCGTCTCTTGTTTTAAATAGATGCACTGACCCTGCTGATTTAAGGGCAGAGGCAGATTGTGGGAAACTTTGATGTCTGAGCTAACACTCCACTGTCTCTAAATACCCCAGTGCCCATTTCCCCATCTGTGTTCACCCAAGGCTGAAGGACAAGCAGCAGGTAGCACACCATTCTAAAGGACTTCCACCTCTCCATCAGGGTGGACTTGTATTGGCATAGAAATTTATATTCTCCAAAAAATTCTTATGGAGTTAGCCATCCATTGACACACTGGAGGAAGTAAGACTTTTGGAAGTGTGCCAAGGTTACCAGCCTAATTGGATGTCGACTCGTGTGAGCAAAGGTTTTTGCCTGGTTCCCCGGGGATAGGAGAGTAGGAAGTGGAAGCTGAGCTGGGAAAATGTGTTTTAAAGACCCTACTGTTGTAAAGTGCCTCTCCTGACTCAGCTTCACATTTCTAATGTGTTTGGATTGGGGTCAGGCAGGGGGATACAGGCAAAAAAATCTGTGTGGAAGTTGCTCTGTGTGGACTGATACAACATCCAGGATCTCACTGAAGATGGAGACATTCTAGAAAAGAAACATCTTGTCAACTGTCTCGTTCAAGACACCTTTTGTGTGGGTGTGCTCTGGGTGGTTCTTTACTGCACGCCACAGAAATTATTTGTCTTTGTAATGGATCATGTATATATGGTAAATTCTATGTTTTAAACATAGCCTTGAGTGTGACTTGTGCCCCTCTGTATAGCTATGTGAACTTGGTCAAGTTTCTTATTCTCTAATTATCCCAGATTCATGTTTATCTTAAGGTGCCTTAACCTCTCATAGAATTCTTGTAATGGGACAACAAATACTGTGAGATTCTGGATCCTATAAATTGCTTTACACTACACTGTGTTAACATTCATGCATCAGCTGGTATACATCTTCAAAATGGAAATTTCTTTACAATTTAAGGCTCTCATTATGATAGGTTCAAAAAGTTAATATTTGTCCAAGAACTTAGCTATACAGTAACATTCCCAAAGATAGCTTACGAATACCTCTTGTGGTTTATTGGACAGGGTCCAAATGGGGAGCAGGCAGATTTTCTAGAAGGAGAAATAGCTTGACTTTACAAAGAGAAGGTCATTTTCTCTGGCCTATACTTGCATCTCATTCGCTTCCTGTCTGCCAGATTTCAAAGATGGTGAATAAACCACATGGCTTTTGAGGAAGAAATACCACTTGGAAGAATTCACTGGAACTTCCCAGAGCATCGATCAGGAGAGGAAAATATGTGGTTGGCTCATAATTCATATCATAATTATCATAAGCAGCATATCCCATTTTATCATGGCAATATTCTAGCAAAATGTGGTCCTGTGGTGTTTTGAAAAAGGAGGGTGATTTCTTCATTTGCACAAGGAGCCATATGGGCTAGTGGGGTCCCTGGGGTACCAGGTGGGGGTGAAGGGTGGGACATGTGAAGAGAAGATTGTGGGGGGCAGCCAAGAGGGTAGGGGAGCCCCCAGGCTTCTGCAGAACCGAACTGAGCTTCAATAACCCTCAAACTCAGGGAGCTTAGGACCATCCTATATGGAAATAAACACGTGCCACTAAGAGGAGCCCAGGCTTTGTAGAGCTGGTAGCTACAGGTTAGCCTAATAGGTCTTTGTTTCAGATTCAACTCAGACTTTTCCCTCCAACATTCTGGTCATAACTGCACAGATCCACACTGTGCTCTGTGACCTAGGGACCAGCTGAACACTGAGTATAAGGAGCCCACCAGACCATCACGTCCTACTGAAAATGCTTCCCAAGGGAATCTTGGAAGGTACTTTCGACATCCAAGCAGAGATCATCCCACCATTGTCTCTAGAAGCAAACTATCCAAGTTCTGCTCATAACTGGAAGCAATGGATAATCTATCCCTGGTGCTTCCTTGGGGTGGTAAATCTTTTTTTATTTTTTTATTTTTTATTTTATTTATTTTACTTTTTAATAATAAATCTATTTTTTATTGGTGTTCAATTTGCCAACATACATAATAACACGCAGTGCTCATCCCGTCAAGTGCCCCCCTCAGTGCCCGTCACCCATTCACCCCCACCCCCTTCCCTCCTCCCCTTCCACCACCCCTAGTTCGTTTCCCAGAGTTAGAAGTCTTCATGTTCACGGGAACTGAGGGGGACACTTGACAGGATGAGCACTGGGTGTTATTCTGTATGTTGGTAAATTGAACACCAATAAAAAATTATTTTATTAAATAAAATAAAAATAAAAAAATAAAGGTAAGTAAGGGAAAAACCTATCATTCAAATGGAAATTAGGAAAAGCTCTTCAACTTGCTTTTACTCTCAGGCCTGTATTGGAACGACTATACTTAAGCAGTTTACAAAAGGGACAATGACTTGCATATTTAAAAGAAGCCAAAACAGGTAAGAGCCCATTGCTCATAGATGCTGTCAGATTTGTTGGTGAATTTTGACCTAGGCCAGCATGTCATGGAACATGGCAGGAAGCAGGGCAAGTGAAAAAGCCCTGAACTAAAGCAGGTGTGGTGCTAGGGAAAAGGGTTGGGATTTCTTTGGGATCACATCTCCGTTAAAGCATTATGATTTTGTTAGCCCACAGGGCAAGTCAGAAAAAGTCAGCCCCCTAACCCCACCCCTCCTAATGCTTGCTGGAGTGAAAATGACATAGGGCACTTGATATTTTTTAGTGCATAGTCATCTGGGTCACCCCACACATCAGTAAGCCCAAAACACTCACTTGGGATAAGAACACTAAAGCAGTTGATGCTTTTAGGGACTATTCATGCCCTTGTTCATCACTCAGCCTCTGATATGCATGACTATGACCTAGGCTGGGCCAAGTATTGGGCTCATGCTCCAAGGCCACAGGAAAAAAATAAATGGTCCAAAGCATGCAAGACACCTAGTCTGGGCTGATCAGAATCCTTGGGAGAAACAAACCATCTTTCCCTTGGGCAGTGAAGCTAGGATGCCACGTATCAGATCTGCCTCCAGCCATGTCTCTGGCAAGTAGAGAAGCCTTGAAGGAGGAAGGAGACTTTGAGAGAGAAGTAGAGAGGAAAATGTTCTGGATGTACAGAATCCTAGCTCCCAGGCCCTAGAATCCCCTGGACTTTTCTTTCCTTCAGATCAATTCACTACCCCATTTTCCTACCTTCTAAACCCTAGTTTGGGTCAAGCTCATCAGATTGCAATGGAGAGAACTCTGACTGATATGGAATGCATCAAAGTTGCTTCCCAGCTCAGGAAGCTCACAACTGAGTGTCACTACCCAAGGAATCTGCTTATATTATATCTCATGATGTACTTGCAGCCACGAGCTCCTGCTGTGTTCTCTCTGCACCTTCTCACTGAGTGGGCCTCCTCAGTGCCCTAACAGCACTCTTCTTGAAGGAAGGCTTGATCGTCAGGCTTCAGCACTGCTATTCTTCTGATGAGGGGTCTACTGGCCTGGAGTAGGGACACCAGCAGGCCTAGAGTAGTACTAAGCAGCACTGGGGACAGGGTGGGGAAGGGCCCAGAGTGGAAATTCAAATGAGCCATGTCATAGGGATACAGGAGGGAGATTTTTTGTGTGGCTGTGAAGTTTAGGGTGGCTTCTTTATAAAACATGATGTCTCTCAGTATCTATGTATTTCTTGGGGAGAGGGTGGGACCCAGCCCTGTGTAATTCTTAGTCCATTACAAGGTGAGGTGGCCACATGGTGGGGAGGTTGACTCTCCATCACATCCCACTCTCCACATAACACTGGACAAAAGCTATGCACTGGGAAGAACACAAAGTAGACATTCATGGTCTAGAGGAAGGGCCTGCCTTCAGCATGGACAGATTGAATGTGAGCTACAGTGGAGTGTCCAAATGGGTAAGATAGACTAGTGCTCCCTAAACTTAAACAGATCACCTACGGGATCTTGTTAAGCTATGGATAATGGTTCAGGAAGTCGAGGTGGGGCCCGGGAGTCTGTGTTTCTGACGAGCTCCCAAGGAGTGCCCATGCTTTGAATCTGGACCACACTTGGAGTGGCATTGATGTAAACTGTTGGGAAATGTGGATCTGGAAGCCCTGGCAGGTTGGGGCTCAGAGTATAGGTCATAGTTGAAGCCTGATAGCAAAATCCCCAGGGAGAGGCAACCCAGTGAGGAGGGAAGGTGCCCCAGCCACAGTGATGGGGAGCACACTGCTGGCAGCTCCAGGAGCAGGTGAACAAGTGATTAAAGGAGTGGGAGGGGGCTGGAGAAAGCCAGGTCTGTGAGTTTCTCAAAGAAGGAAATGGTCAGCAGTGTGCACCCTACAGAAGTCAAACAGATAGAGGTTGAGCCTTTGCCCATTCTGAATTAATTGTACATTTTGCATTTTTAAAAATGATTTTTTTTGCTGGGGAAAACAATTCCCCAAGTGCACAAGGCTAACAGACTTTGGTGCTGAGCCACGGGTGCTCTGTTCAGAGTATTTCCCCCCAGAGCAGTGTCTTTCCATAGGGTGGCGATAGGGGGAAGATTCTTTTTTTCTTTTTTAATTTTTTTATTAGAGTTCAACTGGCCAACATATAGCATAACACCAAGTGCTCATCCCGCCA